TCAAATTCAAGAGTTCTGGCCATTGTATCCTGCATGGTAGAGGGGTGTGCTTGCTTCACTTGTATCTTAGTTGTGGACTGTCCAAGGCATCTACGAACTTTCCCTCAGCAACAACTTGAGGAGATCGGGTGGTGCAGTTGGGTAGGCCTTGTGTGCCATGCTTTCCAAGTCCTGTGCCAGCTCTTGCAGGCTCTCCCCTTTAGCACGGATGCTCGTCCTGAACCTAGCCCTGTAGACTTTAGACTGATTTTGGGTTCCGTACCTGAGTTCTAGAGCCGCTACCAGTGCTCTATAATTGTGCCTTTCGTCTGCTGACAACTGTCCAAGTATTTCCAGTGGTTGTCCTTTCAAGCTCGTTGCCAGATATACTGCTTTCTGCTCCTCTGTTCACCCATTCATTTCTGCCAGTAGCTCAAATTGTTCTCTATATGCTTCCCACGAAGCCTTCCCATCGAATTCCTATGGCTTCCTTTGCACTGGATCACTCCTATTACTGACATTTATATCTGGGATGTGACTTCTAACGGGACTGAATATGTCTGCATTAGGGTTTAGCTGCAGGGTTTGGATAGGGCTTGTCATTGTCTGGGGCTGATTAAGTCGATGGTCAATGTATCCTCCCTGTGTGACAGACAATAGATCGTCCTTTAACGTATCTAATTCGCTTTGAAATTTACTAATGTTTTCCATTTGTGCTTCTTGTTTCCTTTCTTGTTCCAGTTGCCACTGCTGTAGTCTCTCTTCTTGTTTATTTTCTCGTTCTTCTTGTTTCTTTTCTTTTTCCTCCAACAACTGCTGTAATTTCTCTTCTTGTTTATTTTTTTCTCCTCCAACCACTGCTGTAATCTCTCTTGTTCATTTTGTTGTTCGAGATGCCACTGTTGCAGGTTTTTTGCCACTGCTGTTGTCTCTCTTCTTGTTTCTTTTCTTTTTCCTCCAACAACTGCTGTAATCTCTCTTCTTGTTTATTTTGCTGTTTGAGCTACCGCTGTTGCAGGTTTTCTTGCAAATGCTGTAATCTCTCTTCTTGTTTCTTTTCTTGTTTATTATCTCGTTCTTCTTGTTTTTGTATCGTAAAGTTGTATTCGGAAAGAATAAACCAGTTTTATTTAATAAAGGACTTGTGTCGCTAAAGTTTAGTCGGAAAAAATTTACGGAAAATTAACTAACGAACGGAGACGTAACAAATTGGTGTCAGAAGTGAGATAAAAAAATGAAAATGAGAGGCGGAAAATCAAACTGCAGCTTAGCAGACTTGATGGCAGCAATACAAGAGCAGCAAAAGAAACAAGAAGAACGAGAAATTAAACAAGAAGAGAGATTACAGCAGTGGTTGGAGGAAAAAGAAAATCTTAATTTCAACAGTCGCTCTATAACAAATGCTATAACTCACATCTCACGTGGTCAACAATATTCTGTCCGCATACATTCAATTACTCATTACACTGTTCCCGTCACATTGGGAACGTCTTATATATACAAGACAAACACATGTCTAATAAATGCTAAGGCATTCATGAAGGAACAGGATATTTCTAGAAAGACGTGGCGTGATACTAGTCACATGACCTCGCTTACGCAACAATAGCTTTGGTCAGCTAGCCCTGACTCCATTGTCATTCTTAGGTCCTTCTTCCTTTGGTTGGGTGAGTTTTGCTATCTCAATGTGTGCTATTATTCTCTCTATTTCTAGTCTCTCTACTGAGTTTTTTGTATTTTTTTTTTTCTGGTACACACTTTTAGCTCCAACTTGAGATCTAATTACAGTTTTGGTCTCAGGAGGTCAAATCCTTTTGCTTGATGTATTTAACCACACCCAAAGGCTTATAGATTAATTTACTCTAATCATGCCTAAAAGAATTTCAATATGAGTGCAAGCTGGTATATTATAGAGATCCTGATGAGTGCACAAAAATATAGCTTATATAAAGGACAAAAAAAAAGGACTCATAGAAAGTGTCGTGGCTATTGAGAATTCCCTCTTGTTTCATCAAAGATTATTAACAACTTATCAGTAAGAATGACATAAATACTTGTTGATGTAATAAATCCCTCTTAGAAAATTTCTGTACACCTTTTTGGAATCATTCAGCCCTTAAGAATTTACTTGTATGGTAACATAAGAACAAAATGGTTACATTAAAAGTGTACAACAAATAGAAATTGTATTAAATTGTGACTAATATCATAAATTATTTTTATGGATTTATTCACAGGGCATTTTTATTTCAACCCTAGAATAAGCTATTTGTGCACCAAACTGCTTATTGTTCTATGGCTTTGTTGGTTACAGTCTTCCAAATAAATACGAGTTGCACAGAAAAATATAAACATGAATGCCATCAATATTGCAATTAATCCCACTAATTAGTGCTGGGGTTTTGTATAAAGTTTATATAAAAAATTAGTAATTTAACCCATTTTTTCTTTTCAGTTATTTACATTGAGTTCTTTAACAGTAAAATAAAATTAATATTATGCAGTACATGGACCCTCCCAGGAATGAGATATATATAAACAAGTTGATAAATTGTTGGTCAGTTTGTACTTTTTAGGCTTTTTATAGCAAATTTCAAGTAGCTTTTATCACAACTAGTTTTAGAATAGATGACTCATGGTGTCAGAAGTACTATTTGAAATCTAGGTAATTTTTATGCATATACTGTAGAAGAGATAAAAAATATGCTGTACAATTTTTTTTTTTGTATAGTATTGAATGTATTTGCACTGATTTAGATTTAATAAATGAAGCAAAATGGTATTCTTTATTCTGTCTCAATATGAATTTATATACTTTATTTTTTATTCTAGACTAGAAATCATGTAACTCAGACAGCAACTAAATCATATCCTTCACCAGCAACTAAATCATATCCTTTACCAGCAACTAAACGTCAAGCTCAGTTTGGACTGCTCTTTGACATTGATGGAGTCATTGTTCGAGGAAGGAAAATTCTTCCTCATGCTGTTGAAACTTTTCAAAAACTTATTGATACTAATGGAAAATTCAGAGTACCAACAGTTTTTGTTACCAATGCTGGAAACACGATGCGTCATAAAAAAGCTCAACAGTTGACTGATTGGCTGGGAGTAGAGGTAATTAAGTTTTATTTTGTTGGCTTTACCACAATTATTAGTTTAATGTATGCTAAAGTGTATTAAAAATCGTGTTTGCCCCTCCCACACACACCTTTATTAATGTAGAACTTTTCAAATTTCTCCATTTATTCTAGGTGTGTGCACTTTCCACACAACATGTCAAGAAAGTAATTTAGTTATTTTCACTCTAACTACTAATTATTTTGTGTTATTCCCCTGCAATAAAGCACTAGTTGCCCTGGGAAAGTATTACATTGTTGTTTTAGTATATAGCATGATACCTTCTCAGACTAAAACATAATATCTATATATTTTGGTGGAATATGCAGGTTTCTTTGGTATACAGAGCTACAGTTTTATAGGAACTAAACATTCTCCAGTAAAGGCAATTAAGCTTTGCTAATACACACAACGTTGTTTTGTGTTATAAAATAAAGATGCTTTAACTGTATGTTTATATTTGTGTCTAGCCTCATTCTTTGCACAGTCTTATTAGAATCAGAGAAATTCAATACTTTGCAATATTTTCTGGTGAAATCGTGTGTTATATAATGGATCTATCTTACTTGCTGTTTTTTTTGGGGGGGGGCAGTTTTACCTAAAAATACCACAGTGACAACATCTAATCTGGTTATTAGCTAGTTGAAAACCTCAACTGTGAGTATTTTAGGAGGTAGTGTAATCTGTTTCCTTAGTATTTCCTTAACTCGAGACCCGTTAAATATCATTTTTTTCATTATCTTGTACTAATTAAGGTTCTGGAAATTGTAGTGGTGTACTTTCACATAATACATTTCTTTAATAAAGATTAAAGTTTGCATTTAATTAATAATCTAGGTGTTTGTGTTTTTTTCAATTACATTTGGTTTATTGGTAGGAATAATGTCATTTATAGCAATGCATTTCATAACTGTCAACTAATGAAATAAAAAGATATCTATTGTTCTCAGTTTTGTGATTTATTGCTAAATTGTTCAACTGAAGTATTTCAATTCAAACAGATTCTTTAAGAATTGTTTCATTGTTCAGTTATTTAGGTATGAACTAGACATATATTCTTTCAAACAAGTTGTCTTCATGTAATTTTAAATTTAATATTGTACAATGCCATAAATAAATTTAACAGAGATATGCCAATCTTTTTTCTTTTCTTTTTTTCCAGATTACTGAACAACAAGTCGTGATGTCACACAGTCCTCTGAGGATGTTCCGTCAATTTCACGAGAAACATTGCTTGATTTCTGGACAAGGCCCTATTGTAGACATTGCTAAAGGGTAATCATAGATTGTAATACAGTTTGTTCTAACTCCCTCAGGAAAATAAAAGAGATAACCTCAGTAACAGACATGACTAGACTGATTGTAGTATGAAAACTATTGATACAGAGAATAATTAACACACATTCACACACACACACACACACACTTCACTGCCTAACATATTAGTGATGATCACTGCATGTATGATGTTATTTTATAACAAGATATTTTGCAATCGATTATTATTTATCATTATATTGTTTTTCATTTAACACTTAGCTCAAATTTTGAAAAGGCTCTTTTATTATTTGCAGTTTATTTGAAAATCCAACTGGAATTTAGAAACAAGCTTTAACATTTACTACATAGTAAGGATTTTGTTTTTACCAAATGTAAAAATATTCAATACAAACTTTTCACTCCCTTTTTATTTATTATCATTTTAAATTTTTCTATGTACCCTGCAGCATTTACTATACAAAATGACTTTTCAGTACTAGCTCAAGTTTCTGAAAACTCGATAATGTTCAAGAAGCAAGCTGTAACTGTAACCATATCAAATTTGACAAAAAGAAACTTCATAATTATTTATCATTTTGCATTTCTATATTACTTCTGCTGACTTATGAAGTGTTTATTCTCTATTCATGTACCAAGAAGGCTTAAACTAATTAACATACCCACTAATAAATTTCCAATTCACTTCAGCTAAAGTTGAAAGACCTTTCATTAAAGCGAAATTAGTGACAACAATACTTCAATTGACTATGATGGATGAAAGTCTTGACTCCTTGTTAATTATAGCTTGTAATAAAACATTGGTTTCATGATTGTTTCTTGCATCTTTAGTTGAGTAAAGTTTAAAAACAAGTTGCAAGTGTAATTAAGCAAAGATTTAGAGTCAGTTTGCATATATCACAATTTGTAGCTGTGTGAGTTTGTGATTACAATTTTCAGTCAAGACCCTATTGTCAACAAATTGTAGTACAGTTTGTCCTAACTCCTTCGTGAAAATATGAGGTAACCTCAGTAACAGACATGTCCAGACTGATCGTAGTATGAAAACTATTGATTGTGATTATAATTATCAGTGTTTTCTATTGGCTGCCAAAATTTTGATGTATAAGCTTGTGAGTTTCAACGAAAGTTTTTTTAGTCATTCATTCATTGTTTTTATTTGATAAAATTTTTGTTTTCATTTGGTAAAATCTATGGTTCACCACTCTACTGACACCATAAACTGGTTGTGATGCCACTGCATGTTAAGTAACTAATTTTAGAAAATAGAATAGCTTGGCATTAAACAATGCAGTGCAGGACTTCACATGAAATAATGATGTAGACCTACATGCTTATCACCTGTTTTGACATCTTTATCTTTGTGCTTTTTGATGAACTTGTCAGAAATATAGAAAGCTAGTGGTGATATTACTATAGACACTCTAGACACGAAATATTTAGGTATACGTAAAGGTTTAGTGAGTTGATACAGTTTCTGTACATTTGAATCAGTTGCTTATATGTTATGTGTTTGTGTTACTTTCACTTGTGTTTAGTACATGCTTGTCTTTGAATGACTTTGTTTCTTTTTTAAATTTCTTTTGCTCCTAAAACTTTAATAACTTAGATTTTATGGCCAGTAAACATAAATCTGTGTGAAAAGAAAATGTGTTTTAGAATTTGCTTTTGATTTGTATCGTAATAATAAAACATCATGCAGTTTGTATGTATATATACACAGACATATATCTGTGTGTGTGTGTGCCTATCTCCCCTTTACTACTGCCAGGAAGCATTTCTAGTACCAGTTTTACAGTGAGAACAGTGTATAAAAGCATTTTTTTAAATTGTTTTTCTGTTGAAGGCTACTGTTTATGAAGACTTACACTTAATAAGGCTACTTATTTAACATACTTGCTTTATCTTAAATGACTGATATGGATAGCGTTACAACTAATACTTTGTGTGTTGTACCCTCAGCTAGCTTGATGAATTGCAGTATTTAGCAAAAGGCCTTGTTAACATTAGTGCCCTGTATAAAGCGAAATACTTAATAGGATTCCAACTGGAAAACAAATAGTAAATTCAATAGGAAATTTGGACTATATCCCATTTACTTCTATAAGATTCCAGTTGAAGCTTAATTGGATCCAATAGATTCTTGCAAGAAAACAATTGAACACTTATTTGATCAAATAAAAATTCCTTCAGATTCATGCAGCAATCCAATTGATGTCTAATTGGATCCTATTCAGTGAAATCAAATTGGATGCCTAACATAAATTAATGAGAATTTAGTTGGAATCAAATTGAAGGTACTTGGATTCCTGTAACAATCTTATCAGGTTCTTGGAAGTATACGTTGAAAGATAATTGGTTCTAATAATGTAAGAAATAATGTTAATATACAAATAGCTGTGAATGCCTGTATGTCAGTATTTGAGGCTTGAATGTACTAATTAAGGAATGATATTAAAATTGCATGGAGTTAATAAATTTCAATGAGTTCTGATGGACCTCAATAAATACCAGTGCTAATATATTTAGAATAAGAATTAAAATTATGTAAATTAGTATGGTTACTAAAAAACATTTTTTAATAAAAGAAAGCCACAGAATCAATAAAAATATCAGATATTAAGTAATATGTAAATGTAAAATAACCTAGATGATAAAAATACAAGAAAACGTACCAAACCAAAACTGTTATGCATAACAAATACATAGTTTTAATACTAAACAAAAGCTATTATTTACAAAAACAATTCACAATAAGGAGCATTGTATTTAAATTTACCTAACAAAACAATATTTTTCAGTTTTGAAAGACTTAGATACATGATTCCATTTATAAATATATGAACATGTTAAAATCAATGTAAAATATATTCCAATTTGGCTTCCAGTACATTTTTGAAAAGGAAATACATGACTATTTTGATAAAAGATAAAATCGATTTTTATAAGAAAGACTTAGAATTGCAGAATTTAACTTTTCTGCTTGAAATAAAACATCCCCTGGTTTTGTCGGTATATTTATATTATTGCATCTAAAATTTTACTTATGATGTTTCAGAATCATACCAGTTTTGATGCACATCATGATTACAGTTAAAAATATAAAAAATATTAAAGTAATTTGGTAAATGTATTTTTAATTGGAATTCATTTAGGTTCTGTTTCTATTTCTTACTGGATTTTTCCTTTTCAATTGGATATATTTGTATGGGTATGCAACAGGTAAAGTGCTGTTAAAAAATGCATTATGCTGTCTTCTTATTCAAAACTGCTAAATACCAAGTAAAGACTGCTGTAATGTAAGCAAAGTATGATGATGCAGCATTGTTTGTGTTGGATATCTACTGTTGGTTACTTATCTTTTTGTTGAGAAAAAATGTAATGTAAATAAACATAGCCAAACCATGTAGGATTTCATTAGCATTATACAGAAGAACTTATGAAGGTGTAAAAGTCTTTTAACTCTATCATTAGTCATTTTTAAATTTAATTTTTGATATTAGTGATCATAACTCACATATAAATAACAAGGACCGATGATAAATAATATCATGAAAAATACTCTGTTGTATAAATATAACAAAGCTTTATATGCATAATGTAAAATAATTTTAAAAGAAAGTAAATGTTACTTTTTTTTTAGGAAATTAATAATATCAAAGCATTACATACTTCTATCAAATTTAGTAATGAACCTTTTAAACAATTACTCTTCAGCTTGGGATTTACCAAAGTGACAACTGTTGATCAACTGAGAAACTGCTTTCCTACTCTAGATGCTGTTGATCATAAAAGAAGGAACCACGTAGTAAGTTGTGGCTCTCTTTAATAAATAATTGTAGTTTGCCAGTATTCAAGTTTATCTATTTACTTTTCATTTTTAAGATCATAAAATGCTATTCAGATATATTTTACATTAAATTTCAGTACATATCAGGGTATTGAAACCTAACATAACCTCTATCAGATATCGCTTTTGATTGTTGAGTTTCATGAAGGCAAACTTGAAGAAATTATTTAATATTTTAATCTGTGAATTAGAGGTTGCCAAAACTGTTCATGTGTGTAGTTAGTTAAGAGTTTGTATTGTTGTGATATAAAATGTAGATAAAAACAAATGTAGTTAATATAGAGAGAGAGCAAGAAATATAAGAGATCCTTCTATTTTGTTTATGAAAAAGTTTGATACCATTATTCTGTACAATATCAAACATTATTTTCAATGTTTTATTTAATTTCTACAGTGTATTGAGAAATTCCTATCTAATAAGTTTTAGGTCATTTCTCATCAAAGTCGGTTGAAATATATGTCCATGAGCATCTAAAAAACTAAATATGGTTATATAGTTTTTCTTAACCCCATAATTTTCATCTTTTTTGTTTCCAATAATTAGGAGCTGACATATAGTTAAAAAACTTTCTGTTGCTACATGCAGAAACCATCTGCCATTTTTGAATATTTCTGTGTCACTTCACCAAAAATGATTAAAAATAATTATTATACAACTGCATATTTAAACCTGCTTTAATGCTCTTTCCCCTATACATAGCTGTGATTCTTAGCATTTGTGTGTTTGCCCCCAGTGGCAAGTCTTAAAGCTTATAATGCTAAGAATTAAGTTTCGATGTTTATGGTAGACAGAACACAGACAGCCCACTGTGTATCTTTGTGCTTAACAACAAACAAGCATTGTGTGTGTGTTTGAAGGTGTAAAAGTTACCTTCTAAAATTCCCTTGAACCACATGCCACACATACAGTAAAATGTTAATGGATATATTTGATGAAATTTTAAAAATGCTCATTTTTACATTTAAAAATTTTCATTCTTGTAGCCTTGTGCATTTGAACGATACTTTCCTAGAATAGGAGGTAAGTTTGTGTTTTTTTATATTAATATGCCATAAGCTGTTTCTTTTTTAAGTAAATATATATTCTCACATATAATCATAAATTTGATAACTGGGACACATATTTATGAATTATAACAGTTCAAAAATGTAATTTAAGTACTGCAGTGAAAATTTTAACCACATTTAGTAACAGCAAAAATCTTAAGTATGTTATAGTTTTCAAAAAATGACATTAAATTCTTCAGTAATTTAATTTTTTTGTATCTTAGTTGATGAAGTTCTATTGTAGACAAGTATCTATTCATCAGTTTTTCATTGTAGAATCTTTTATAATTTAAAGAATAGGAGATTAGTAATGTTTTATAGCATATCTATATCACAACACGAAAAGTGTGACGTAACTTTATTTTGTTTTAATTGTGTTAAGATCTGTAAATACCTGATGTACACAAGAGAGTACAAATGTGCTTTACAAAACTTTCTTTCTGGCCCATTGATGTACTGAAAATATCTTATTTGTGAAAAATATAATATCAGTTTGTGAAGCATTCTTAGAGATGCTTTTATATATTTCTTAATTTTTTTATGTGTGATTCTACACCTGTGTTTTCACAATATATTAATCTACTTGGGAAGTTTTACTGAAATGAAGATAAGACTATGTACTCTTAGTTTGAAATATGAATAAATTGTTTGTTCCATTTGTGAATTATACAACCATGTTATTTAAAAAATAATAATAGTGTTATAACAATAAGATAGACTGTTTTACAATTGATATTGTAAATGATAAAGGACAAATTTTATTAGCTGATCTCTTTATGTGGAATATATTAATGTGTCAATATAAACGTTTTTTTGAAGCTGTGGTTTTATTTGGGGAACCTGTGAGGTGGGAAACAAGTCTGCAGCTGATTTTGGATGTACTGATGTCTAATGGCTTACCTTGTGAATCTCTTCCCACTGCTCCATACCCTCATCTTCCATTACTGGCATGTAACATGGATCTGCAATGGATGGCTGAAGCCTGCATGCCCAGGTTATGTGATAGACTTTGTGTTTGCCACTTATGATATTCTAGCTAATTTTAACATGTAAATCAATTTTTACCATCATGAGTTTACCAAAAACTTCAGAACTTGAAATTAGATAGATACAGATTCTCTCATTATATTAAATATACCAGAAAACATGTCACATTCACTTAGAAACTGGTATATTTAAGTAAGGAGAGGTTCACTTAGTTAGGGTCTGAAATTACTTATATTATGGAGAAAACTCAACACACTTTTTAAATTTTGTTTTAAACTTAGAGAGATCTTAGAACATAAAGTATGCAGACCGTGGTGCAGTTAGTATACAAATTTCCTTGATTTATATGAAACAATTTTGTTACATTTAACAAGTGTCCATGTTTATAAAGACAAAGTTTAGTACTGTTAATATTCAACTTCTCTTTATTGTATTGATGCAGTTCGTTTTGTAGTAATGGTTGTCCAATGCTGTATGTAGTAGTAGTTACAAAATGTTATATAGTAATAACATATGTGAGATATGATAGAACGATATGGCTGACAATATTTTATATCATACCATTTATTGGCCAAGTAAAGATTGTGAGTAAGAAGAGTATATAACAACTATTTTACATTCTTCTATCCTGTAAATCCATACTGGGCTTGTGGAGAATGGTATGATTGAAGATATTATCAGCCATGTTGTGATATTTTATCACACATCTACTACTGCTATATTTTATGTTGTGCCACTTACTTGATGGAATCAGTGTTCAATGCTTGTGTTTTATATAAAGCAAATTTCACATATCCCCTTCCGATTCACTCTAGTTCAATGTAATTATTTATTCCAGCTCATTTCCTGCCAGTCCTGTGGGATAGGATTGGGGGGAGGGGGGGGGTAATGGTTTTATCTGATGTAAACAAATGTGTATATACATTTGTGTTTGCATTGTTTCAGTGTTATTAGTTACAATATAAGACATAGCAGGATAAAACTATTAGGGGGAGTAGCCAGAAAATCAATAGATACAGATTCCTTTCATTCATAGTATACACATGTTGGTTACTATACCCAGTTTGGGTCAAAATGCTATGATTATCTTTTGTTTTGAGGCTGCAAATTGTCTACCACTTTTGGTCATTATTGCATGTGTTTCAAGAAGCTATGGCTATCTTCTCTTTCAAGGGTGTGAACTGTCTGCCATTTGACTGTTATTGCACATGCTCTGGCAAAGTCCACATAATTATCTCCAATGAAAATCACATATTAGCATTTATGTTATCCTGGCCAAACCTCACGTCATCTAGTTTAAGTGTACATAATTCAGCCCTGTTTACTAAAAATTTTACCAAGGTATATAATATTTGGTGGGATGATACTGAAGGCTATTTTTGGTTGTAAGAAAGACATCTAAATCTAATTTATTAAATTAAAAATAACTTCCTTAAACCTTTCCAGTGATGTAAAAGCATCTAGATTTATAAATTGTGAGTATTAATTACAAATTTACAACACAACCCTCAGTTTTGTTACACTAGTTGAATGAGACTTGATGTTTTGTTTTATATTCAGTTTGTTTTATAAATGTTGGTGGCTTTTTCAAAGTGTAGTTCTGAAGAGAATTATACCTATTTTATATTTGTAGGTCTATTACTATATATTTATTTATTAACCTTAATGGATGTTTACTTCTACTTTCTTTGTTTTCCACCCTAATTATTATTGTAAATTTGAATAGATTCTCAACATTTTTTCTAGAAAGGTTTTAAAGCATTGAAACCAACCCCAAATAGATAAGGTTGTGGGAGTGAAACCCCCTTATCATCCTAGGGTTTTGAGTTTTTTTGTTTCAATAAAAAACTTTTTTTACAAAATTTAAAAGTAATTGCTTAATTATTCTAACTCTCATTAAAAGTCACCTCTCCCAAGTGCAATTCCTCATGCTAAAAAGGAAAAAAAATTTTTGAAAATCAAATGGCTTACCATGTTAAACTAACAGTTTTAAAAAAACAGCTACCTAAAATGTATTATTTTTCCCCACAAGCAAAAAACAAAAAAAAAGTTAAAGGCAAGAGTGAAGAGAAACTTTTTCCAAATCATAATGTACTATGATCATTAATAGTTCTATTGACAGGTTTTATTTATGACTATTGTTCATTATCAGTATTAAAGAAAAACTTACTTTGAGATATTTTTCACATGCATATTGTAACTTTTACATTTTCCTCTAGTCTGGGCATGGCTTATAGGTTAGTGTGCTCAAACTGCATGAATCCAAGGTTTCATGGTTTGCACCCTATTACTTCAAAAGTGTGTTCCTCACTGTGGAGCCATGGGCACACTATAAGAGTGATGGTCAAATCCCACTATTTGGTCAGATAGGAGTGGTGGATGTTGTGGACTAGCTACATTCTCTCTAATCTATCAGTTCAAAGTTACAGATGTGCAGATAGCCTTTTATGTAACTCTTCATGGCAATTCTGAAACAAGTATATCCCCCTTCATCCATTATTATTATTATCTGAAGCAGAAAACAGTTGAAGCAACTATGTTTTGTTCATGTCTTTATGCCAGACTAAACCATTTGTATTGTCTTGGCTTGCTATCAAATAGAGTTTTGTTCAGTATACCTAAAAGCTTTACACATAAACTAATCAAATCGTATCACATGGTCAAGTGTAGCTCAGTAAAGTATCACTACAAAACACAACAAACTTTCTTTAGTTTTATGAAAGCTCAAACAGCGAATATGATAAAAAAGCATTTGTAAAACAAAAGATTTGGAACTTTAGATAGCTTCAATTATAAACACTTTAGGCCAGTTTTAAAATTATTTGTCCAAGTGTCAGGCTAGGTTTGTAATCATATAAAAATGTGCAGCTTTCAAATTCCTGTAAGTGATTGTTTTGGAACAACAATGTGACAAATACCTTAAGTGTTACTTGTAATGATAAGAAAAAAGTTGTATTTTTTAATGTTAGCATTGTTAATAGCAGAACAAAAAGAGGCTTAACAGTGTGGTCTGTCAACAGATAACATTTATAGAAATGTAGTTTGTTACAAAAAACTGGTTGTTAAGGCTGTAAAATCTACATTTTGTTGATTAATAACAGTTTCATTATATGTCTAGAAAGATTAAAAAAAGCAAGTGTAAATATTACTTAAAGAATTATTTTGCAGGCCAAACACAAAGTTACATAAAATAGTGTTACATCTCCGTATACTGCTTTCTGCTCCTCTGTCCATCCGTTCATCTCTGCCAGTAACTCAAACTGTGCTTTCCCATCGTATTC